TTGCACTTGTCCCATCAGTCTGAAACTTCCCTTAACCTGCAAGACCTTAACATCTTTGAAGACATGAGAAAAGCAGAATTTCCCTATTAGGTTTATCAAATATTTTCTCATTATTCAGTTCAAGTCATGCATGATTGGCAGAAATATTGAAGAAGCAAAATCATGTTGTTTTAATTGCATCCATTGGAGGCACACATTATTGGTTTTTCCCTTCATTTGAGTTAAGTATTGTCAACCAGCTTTCTTTTCCCTTTGTAATTATAAACAACTACTATGTGGAAAGATACTAGAGATTAGATAAACATCTCATTCTTCCTCCAACTTTCACCTATTATTTTTGGCAACAATTAATGTTTCTTGCCAGAATTATTGCTAAATAGTTGCCAAATAGTGATTTTCTAATTCCATCTCCCATTCTACTCTTATTAATTGGTATTCTACTATAAGGTAAAGCTTTCTCCTCTCCCCATAAGTTGAATATATTCATGTATCCCATTATATTGTAGTGTAATAAAATAGTCCTATTTTATAAGTAAGACAAAATGTTACTCTCATACTTGGAGTCTCAAATTGTCCCAGATTTAGTTAATGGACCCACTTCAAGCTTTTGACATATTCCTATAATTCTTAGACAACCTCCTTAGTTCTTGACACAATATGGTACAGGTTCATCTTGTACTTTCCTAGACCCAAGTCTAGAATCAACCATTTCTCCAAGGATACCTGGCTCAACCTGATGGAGAATGGTATGTAAAATGTGGTCACTAGGTGTGCTCATTGCTATTGAAGTGTTGCTATTCCCAGGCAACCATATATCTACTTATGTATATATTAATACATATAAATCTATACTTATTTCTATTACCTTTATATCTATTTCTATTCATGAAGTCATGAGATACACCAATACCTCCAATTTCAGTCGAACACCACAGAGTTCATTCTACATGTTTTCCTTTTTATATTTATGACTCCCATTTCTAATAGCAAGAGAGCTGGCTTGCATTATTTTCAATGTATTTACTTATTCTCTCAATAGCCCCCTACCTCATATGTAACAAATCTCCTGATCCTGCCAGGCCACTGCCTGGTAATCTTCAGGCCAACTGGAATTCAGGTTTGCAGACGTGGCTGGAAAGTGTGGGGCAGGGTACCAGAGAAAAACAAGCTGTGCAGTAGTAAGTGTATGAATGGAGCAGGCTGATGGTTGACCACCTGTCTGACATGAGTTCACCTCGTAACATATATGTCAAACTGGTTAACATGAATTTAGCCCATGTGAGTAGAGGTACTGTGAAGTAAACAGAGGTGATAGAGTGGTTCCATTCTACTTGGAGTGGGTCAGACTACATTTGGAGAAATGTAGTGAATTTGGTTTGCCACATCACCAATACACAGAGATCTAATATTCTCTGAGATTTAATGGGGACTCCATTATCCTGCCTTTTAATAGTTTAGGATTTCACTCTCTTATAGATGTAATCATTTCTAAACCAGGATATATGACTGCCCTAAGCACCCTTCTAACAAATATTATTCAAATAATTATTCTGTTTCTTTCATGGAAATGGGAGAAACTGAAAAGTATATACTTATCTATGTTGAAAATAAGGAACTTACTGTAGTGTTCCACATCATATAATTTCTTGGGAATGAAGTTTAGCTGCTTACAATATAGATGAAATAGATCACTTGATCCCCATAAACAGATATATGCCAGTTAGTTATTCAGTTTAAGAATTTTTGACTGTCAGGTCCTTCAACTATTAAGTGGTTGGCTGAGATAAGTCTTGTGTTTGCACCATGAATCTTGCCTATATGTGCTGCAAAATACAGTACTTTGGTGGAAGCCAAACCATTTCACATCTTGCTAATTAAGTAAATCATTACATGTGGAAATCTATATTAAATAGGATTACAGTTCTAATTTATTAAAGTGATGCCAAGCATTCCTTATAGGTTGATGCCTCGGCTCTTCACTACTCACCCATCCTGAATAAGCCAATGAGAATACTAAAAGTATTCCATTTTACAAAAATTTCAAAGAGGTTGTAGTGTATAAGTCATTATTACCTGATCCACCTTACATCTTTATATTATTTGATTAAAATATCATTACCCAAGACTAATGCAATGATTTCTAGGCATGGTTTTTTAATGCCTCAAAGCATGTTAAATCACTTAAAGGCAATATAAATTTATACTCTTAAATCACCTGGAAACAAGATAAATTTTCATCTAGAGTAGTTTTTGAAATACAGCACTGTGTACAGTTTTATAAGCTTCTCACATGATAAAATGTTATAAAAAAGGAAATAAGCTAAGAAATAAACCAAGTAACTAAATTAGGTAATTAAGCTGTATAGGTAAAAGCAGCAGGATACAGGTATTCTCAACCAGTATATGTTCCCTTTACTTTTTGTTTTAAACAATATTCATGTGATCTCTTTAAAGCGCCTTAATCCAGAAAGTTTTCACAAAACCTTCCTACCTTACAAAATATGTAAAGGGAACATATTACCAGGTCTTGTATATTCTCAAAACTAAAGTAAGCTGATGTCACCAACTCCAATGTCCCAGCACACGCACACACACACAAAATCACAACACAGAACAGATAATAAAACTTGGGAGTTACCTATTTCAATCTGTGATAGGTAAGAGATTTTAATTTATATATTGTTTCTTAAAATGTAGTCCAGAAATTAAATATGTAACGATCATTTTTGCCACTTCTTACTAAATTCATGTTTCTGGGATGCTCCTTGATTGATCTCCTAAAGTAGTTCTTATGAGAACCATTGACCAAAGTCCTGGGAGCTTTGAGGAGAATGCCAGAACAACAATATCCATTTTACATTAGTTTCACTGGTTTTCTAGCATGAGGAGAGGGGGCTACAAGCTAATGATATTTCCTAATTTTGTGAAGTATGTAGAATTCTATTAAAAACGTAGCTCTCTTATGATCAAAATTGTTGCATACGAACCTGCTTTTAGCAGAAGGTACCTATTTTCTCCCTTCAATTATTTAAAGTGCATCTCAATCCTCAAAAATTAACTACTCTGCATCTCAATCCTCAAAAATTAACTACTCATCACTGCAATCCAAGCTCATGGGGATGTAAGTAATATGTTTCCCCTGCAAAAATCAATAAAATACACAGCATATAATTTTGTCATTGTTTGATTTTTGGTGAGGAGGTCATATGATTTTATAAGACAATTCTGCCATAATTTAAAATAAAATTCTGCCATAATTTAAAATAAAATTTTTAAATAAATTTTAAAAAAATGCAGAATTATCAAGTGAGCTAGTTTTTTTTTTTTAATGAGCACTTGATAAAAATCAAGTTGGATTTATTTCCTAGTTATGTAGAAAGTTTACATATATGCCCAACTCTATTATTATCACTTGGAGAGAGTCTCAGAAATTTTAAAATAAGTTAATAAATCTGTTAAAAGAATTGCCTTGTTCTCCCTGGTAAATTGTATTTTATATTCTAGGGGAGTAGACACAATCTCAAAGTATTTCTTTTAATGTTTCTTTTGACACAACGAATACACTGTGTCACAAAGTGTTATTATGCTTCAGCTTTTAATAGATAGAATTATGTATAGTCTCTAATCATTAGACTAAAGAAAAACAATCTAGTCACGCCAGCAATTCTACATTGCTTTTATATATAGACTTCCTCTGGTAACACTTTGGGCTGAAAGAAGAATCAAGGCATGCATTATAGGATTTTATGACTCTATACAACAATGAGTTTCAGTTGAAACAATGGCCGTATCTCTCTAGATAGTACAACATTAACTTAAAGTTGGGCAGAAAAACTTAAAATCTTGCAAATCTTAGTTATCTGAAACCCATCCTTCCCATATCTGATCACATCCCTCTTCGCCTCTCCCTTTTCTACTACGGCATTATTTCGCCTTGTTTTTTTTTTCTCTGCAGTTATTCTCTTTTCAGTACTAGGAAAACAGCTCGGTTCTCTATCTCTGCCCCTTGAGCGTTCCAGCCTTATTCCGACGCCGCGGACACATAAACCCCCGATAACGAGCACAACTGCTTTTTTTGCGGGGTAGGGGGGATCTTGACCCTCCCACGTCCGATCGTCTCCTATCAGTGCCCAGCTGGACTGCTGAACCGGAATGGGAAAGGAGAGTGGGCGTCCCTCTCCACCCGCACCAGCATCTGCCCAGCGCCCTGGCTACCCGCGGGACGCTTTGCCAGCGCCGGGCTCAGTCTCGCGTCCTTTTTCTCACGTCGTCCCGCTCTTCCTTTCTCCTACTGTATTTCTGTCATCAATTCTTTGATGGCGAGAGGAAGCAGCTCAGAGCTACATGTCTTCTCTCATAAATTCGTGTATGCTTTTCCTGAATCTTTCTCCGCCCCTTTCTCTCCCTAACACATGTAGGGTCCGCAATGCAAAGACTCCTTTCATCCAGACATCAATGTCAGAGTCTCAGTTTGACAATTTCATTCAACGCGCCAGCACCTACCGAAGCCTACTCTTTACCAGTTCAGTTTTCTCCCAGTTAACCATATTCCTTCCCATTGCTAAGCAACTCCAGCTTTCTGGGTTCTACTACTGACCACATTCAAAAAAAAAAAAAAAAAAAAAAAAAAAAAATCCAACACGCAATACAGTGTAAATTCCAGGAAGAAAGTGTGCATGTGTAAAACAGTCTAAGTGTGTGCATCTATCCGTCTCAGCCTGTCCCGGGTCCTGTGCATGAGGCTGCGAGATGCAGGACATTCAAACCGCTCAAACTTCCCCTGCCAGACTAAGGCTTGGCCCTCTCCTGCTCACCTGTCTGCGCCCAGGTAACCAGCGAGGTGCCCGCTCGGCCGCGTTCCAGGACACCTGGACTGGCCAAAGCGAATGCCACACGGCCGCCTCCTCCCGCGCATTTTTTCACTACCCCTCCTTCCTCTGGGTGTTCTGAACCCCTTCCCCCAAACACAAACGGGACCGCCCTCATCCACAGCGCCTTACCTCAAACAGGGGACCTATCTTGTTCTTCTCCAGGTAAGCCTGGATCCGGGATTGCTGATGAGACGCCATGGAGAGACAGATGGGGCCGGGGAGAGTGCAGGAAAATAGCGCGGCCGTGCGCCTCGGCAGGGGACAGCCCTCCTTTTTCCCCCGGACTGGAGCCGGGACAGGAGCTCCGGAGCCTCTTATCCCCCGGCGCGGCGGTCAGAGTCCTGGCCGCGGGCGTGGGCTGCAGCCCCGGGAGCCGAGAGCGCGTGGGGCGCCGAGAGCCGGAAGCCCGGGCGCGGCGCCGCCAACTCAGTCAACTCCGAGGCGAGGGGAGAACTCATTCATCGCGTTTCCCTCCTCGCGCCCACCTCCGCCGCTCTCCGCTGCCCGCCGCGCCGGGGGAAATTCTAGGCAGAGGTTGCAGGTTCCTCTTTCCTCTGGGCGGCAGCAGCAGGAACCAGGAGGCGGGTTCTGCTCCGCCTGGCGCCGCGCGGGGGGCGCCCTCGGGCGGTCAGGGGGCCGCGGGGCTCGAACTCTCCGCGATCGTGCGTGTGCGTGCGTGTGTGTCCGCGCGCCCGACTGTGTGCGTCCCCTCTCCCGGGTTACGGGAACAAACAGCCTGGGCTTCTCCCCCGGCTGTGCTCGCCCTGCCCGCCGCTCCCTAGCGACAGCGCCGCTCAAAAAGCCAATGGTGAAGGTGCTTCTTTCAAAGTGCTCATAAATCTGGTGCTTGTTGGCTACTCTTGGCAGCTACAAATGCTGTTGGAAAAGGGTCGTCCCCGGCGCCCCCTGTGAACTCGTCCTCGGGCACCTCGTGCTCTGCGCCCACGAGATCAGAATCCGAGAAAGGCAGAGTTATGAGAAGGCGCGTGGGTCTGAGGGCTGGCCGCTAAAATGAGGTTGCTTTCTTTTAGAATGTCTGGCTTGGCCTGGAGCAAGTCAACGCGCAACTAGAGGCTGAGAACCCAGCTGCAGGCTCCCAAAGTGTACACACCCAAAGGTTGTACTTCAGCTTTTGACAGGAAGAAGGGGTAAAATAGTGAGCCAACCCTCGGTTCCAAATTGGAATTGCTGATTCACATATAACTATGTGGATTACAATCCACATGTCTTTGTGCTTATATGTCTGTAGATATACACCAGATGCTACCACTCTATTCCACTTAAAAATGTTTCCTCTAGACACTTCGGGAGATCCTCAAGCTTAGCCAATACCTTTCTTACCATGCGGGGATTTCCCGAGTTGAAGATCGACAAACCGCAGAGGTTTCTTCACAGAGCTCTCTTGAGAAACTCTTGAGGTCTCCAAAGACGATTTCCGTGGCTTCTAACCATGAAGTGCTACCAAATTTAAGATATGTGTTGGTAAATATGAAGGTTTAGAATGAAATGAATAGTTGTACCTAAAGCAGACTGCCGCATTATAGGTTTATTTTTCTTTCTCACTGTGTTCTGGATTTCTGTAATTCATAACTTCTTTATTGGTATCAATGTTTTGCTTTGGTTTGGTTTTTCCTTCCGTAGGACTACTTAAACAGATCTACTTATTGTGGAAACATAAGAAATCTGCCAGAATACCTAAGAGCTTACCCATCACTGACAACTTGAATCACACATGATTTGGGATGAAATGATCCCTCAGTTATTACTTTTACAATCCGAGGTGGGTCATTTGCCCAGAGGGAATTAATTGAACAGCAGTGAGGTGCATAGGGTTGTCATGTATTTTCCATTATGGATCAAAAGCATACTTATATATTTTTAAAGGTGTTCAGGAGAAATTAAATATACATACTGAATATCAACATTTTTATTTGCTAGAAGGTATGGTGTATCTATGACCCAACTAAAAATTCAAGTACTTTTGATACCACATTGTCCTGGAGAATCAGAGTGATATCTTCTTCCAAAAGACATGAGGAAGGTGCTTCTTTAAATCAGATAATTAACATACACAGTCTTCATCAAACTCAGAGCCACTACACCTTGGGCCTTAAATAGAAGAAACAAGGATTTACTCGCAAAATACACATATTAAAGAAAGAATCATGAAGATATATACATCATGCATGTTAAAACACAGAACATCCCAAAATTACATTTTTAAAATTAAGAAATTATTTCAGAAGTTTTTCAAGGCCAACTTTACATACCACCTCCTTCACCAAGCATTTCTTGGTTCCCTCCACTGATTCCCAAACTTGACTTGATTATTACAATAAATATTTATTCCACAGTCTCTCCATGGCAGATGTTACATTAGGGCTGAGGATTCAAAGGTGAAAAGCCTTGTCTTTGCTCTTCGGTGTTCAGTCTTGTCGAGGCAATTGTCATGTATACAGATATGACATTTGAATGCATTGTGCTAATATAGGTATATAAAACATGTTGTGCACATACTGATGATGGAAAAATTACCTTTACCAAGATTCTCGAGGAATTCTCCACAGAGGAGATGGTGTTTGAGCAAAGTCTTAAAGGAAGACTAAAATTTTTAAGTTTTCCAGATGGGATTGGTGGGGTGTGGATGGGGGCAATGTTTCAGGCTTTGTCATTAAAAAGTAGCAATTGCAAAGATACAGAGCACAAAACAGGCTGGTGGTTAAAGACATGTAGGGTTTACATGGAGGAAGACTGTTGTGTGAGGTTAAAATGTAAGCAGAGTTCAACTCATTAATAAGTCTTAAATGCCTTATTAAGACATGTAGACTTGCATCTTCTGCACAATGAGAATCAACTTAAGAATTTTGAGCCAAGGAGTGTTGTGGTGAGGTATAAGTCTTGGGAAGATTGCTCTGGTTACAACATGCAAGATAGATTAAAAAGAATGATATTGAGATAGAAAGCCAATTTGGTTTGCAGAATCCATAAGCAATCAGGAGACCGAACCTTAGGATTAGGGATGTGGGGATGGAGACAATGGAATGTATCCAAGAAATACTTAAAGGCTAATTTGTTGATGAACTATACATAGGATGAAGTTGGAAGAGAGAATCAAAGATAATCCTCTAATTTCTGCAATGAAGCTAAGAGATTATAAATTACTTGCCCAAGTCACCCAATGAGTAGTTGATAGGGTTTTGATTCAGGTTTTTCTAACTTCAAAGCAGACACTATTTCCATTCTCTGCCCTGTACCCTGAAAAGTGGTTAAGAATTTAGTTTGCAGACATCAGTGTCCCTTAGTGAAAAGAGAACCTATTAGGTACTCAATAAATAACAGCTGAATGAGTGAACTAAGTTTTGGTAGACCTAGTCAATCTAGTTATATTCTTTCAGGCTAAACTTTTTCTCAAACACATGTCATTTACGTTTGGTTTTGTTCCATTTAATTGTATGCATATCCTGATCCCTTTTTTGAGTTGCAAATCCACTAAAGTCATTAACTCTATCTTAATAATTCTCTTATACTTTATAGTTTGTAACATAGTATTTTTTCATACAGTAGGTTCTTTATAAATACATCTTTAATTAGCGTCCTGTTGCTATACATTTAAAGAATTTATTTCATCTAATCCCTTTAAGATGAGCCGAAAAGCATCCATTGTCTTAGATTGAATTTAACAACTTTCTTCTGTACACATAATATGGTGCTTTTATGATCCCTTTCCTTTTTTTGGCTTGAGTACAGCATGAAAAGGCCATTTTCAATGAGATTGTTTTGCCCTCATTGTGTTATAGGAGTGCCTGTCAGCATAATTTACAAATATACTGAATCCAGTTTATAGAATGTACTAAAGCTCTTGTCTAACTCTGTTTGTAAGATACCTTGCACAACTCCTTAAACAAATGATTTTTGATGAGACAAGAGAATAATGGTGAAAGCCCATTGACCTAATTAGGAAGTATTAGCAATGTAATCCCTTGAAGTTTATTAAATATCAAAATCAACAAGCAGAGAAATTTATACAAGTTGCATATGTGCCCCTTTCCTGTATCTATTTCACTTTTCTACTTTATAACAAACAGGTACAAATATCTTCACAGAGAATCCAGGACTTTTATTTTTGAGCTATTGGGTGGAAAGGTTGTCTCCAAGACTGAAATAAAGGAGGTTCTAGAAGAGATGAAGCAGAAAAGTGGGGACATGGAATTGTCCTGAGTGACAGACTTTCCAAATGTATTTAGATTTCCAAGTCTGAATTGCCAAAAATGAATGATAATTATGGTTTAAACCACATTCAACTGTTACATAGTGGGATACTCTGTATATGAAAACCTTCTCTCTCTCTCTCTCTCTCTCTCTCTCTCTCTCTCTCTCTC